GATGGTAGGAATGGAAAGTGATCTGAGCATTTTCTAGCACAGTAGTCAAAAAAGGAAACTATTTTAATAATTGTGGAGCCTAATCACACAGGTAGGTCAGGTATATTAGTTTGTTTCTCCACTGTTGTGACAAAACACTCTGACCACTACCAACTTGGGGAGGAAAGGGTGTATTTGACTTACATCTCTCAGATCTTAGTTCATCAGGGAGACCAAGATAGGAACTCAGGCAAGAACCTGGAGGCAGGAGCTGGAGCACATGCCATGGAGGAATGGTGCTTACCGGCTTGCTCCCCTGACCCCAGCTCAAACTGCTTCCTTATACAACATAAGTCCACCTGCCCAGATGTGGCACCACATAGTGGACTGGGCCCTCCTGCATCACTCAATAATCAAGAAGATGCCCCACAGACATGGCCACAGGCCAGTCCAATGAAGGCAATTCACCAATTGAGGCTCCCTCAAGCCAGGTGTGTCAAGTTGAGAACTAAAGCTATCCATCCAGCACATCAAGTATCCTGCAAAGTGGGACAATTCCCAATCATAACAAAGAGACAATTCAGAAGTGTCCTCACTGGAATGATCTTGCTCACAGAAAAAAGCTGGGCTTGTATTTACAAGCCTGGTGAAACATTAGCATGTAAATGGAGCAGGCTTTCCGTAACAAGGAGTCAGAAATGCATAATACTCAAGAAATAGTTGTAGGCCAAGAAACTATGGCCAGCTATAATAAGAATTAGAATTATGTGAGATTGTCTTTTGGGGGCTATTTGTGCTCCTCCTAGTTGAGCTACTGTCCTAAATGTTAGCTTTCCTAATTCTGCATCCTTCTACCCTTCTACGCTTGCCAAGGAGCTGGAAATAAAATGTCATGATACTCTTACCAGAATGTCTCCAAGTTAAATGATGTCACAGAAAGGAACTTTCCTGAAATTTTAAAATTATCATGAAGGGAAGTTGAGGGCTGAAACTGCATGAAACAGACTGGGCTTTCATACTAACTTTTAGACATCCCTCAAAATTCTCCACATGGATCCTATAGATAATTGAGGTCATCAGTAGTGACTTCCTGTGATTCCTGTGTATTTTGTTTTCTCTGATGCTAGGAATGTTATGAATGTTGTAGCTGCCCCAGTTTGTTTAAATCTGTTTCAACTAGAACTACTAAGAATGATTTCCACTTTCTTAACTGAACCATGATTTTAAAGGCAACGTGAAGGAATATATATATATATATATATATATATATATATTTAGTGATTGATATGGGCCAAACAAATGGGGTTTGAAGCTGACTCTAGTCAAGTTGAGCTTGACTCAAGAACATGACATTATTTGGACCTCTCACTGTATGGAGCAATTCACACTTGCTGCATTTAAGTGATATTTATAGGAAGATTATTTGGCACCTATTGGAAAGATATATGAAAACGAATCACAGTATCAGCTAATATTAAAACATTCTTAAACTGTCTCCTTTATTACACAGTAAATGTCAATAACTTTGAGTTTTGTGCTGGAAGCAGAAATGAGGAGATGTGTGAAGTCAATAAATTATAAAATAATGACAAAATAAAATTGTGTTTTCCACAGTCTCATTTGTAACCACTGTGAATGAAAATTCCCAGAAATACTGAGTTTTAAACCGAACATTCTACAAAGACTGATCAACTGATTAGAACTTCAGTGTTTCTGGAGAGTTTGGAATGTTGCAGGCCCAGAGCCCAATTACCATTTATTTTGGGTTATCTTTATTTAGCTCCCTAAATAACCATTCCTTGCCCACCTTTGTTTATGACTTAACATATTGTGACTAACAGAAAAACAAAAACTTTTGGAATGTATTTACTTAGCAGACCACTACCTTCTACCAACAAAAAGACTGTCTCTGCCATCAGATAGCATCTGAGACCTATAGCTGAAATTTCTCATTTGCTGTATTTGCCTATTTTATGTTTCTACCAATGTATTTGAAAAGTGTCTTTATTTATGATTTTTCTTTTTCTTTTACCATAAAACTTCATGAAACTGTTACCATTTTAGAACATGGAATTTGGAGTAACTTGAATCTGTCTTGTTGGGCCATGGTCACTCATATTTGGCTCCAGAATAAACTACCTCTTAGCCTCTTTGAGGTGAGAGTTATACTTTTGTGTAGCTACAACCTATGGTTTTACAAAAGCATTTAAATATGCAAAATACTCAGAGATGTATTGTTTGTAGGGACCAGTCTTTAGACTCTCCATTTCCCAACATGTGTCATTTTTTTCACCTGCTTTAATTCAAATAAAATTCAGCCTAGATTTTTCAAATATAAAGCAGATACTGACTTCATAAACAGTTGGTCCATTTCGTGTTAAATGAGTGTTCTCTGTCATAATTCATCTTAACCTTGCTTATTAGAATTTATCATGGCACAGGTAAATGGGGAGCCATGAAGTGAAACCAGCCTTCAACCATGAAAAACACATAAAATTAAAGAATGTCTAAATTTGTTCAAAGATGCAAATAATTGTATTTAATGTATACTCAATTAAAATTGAGAATAAAATGAAAAATCTGTAATGCGTAAATGCATAGATGAACATATCCTGGTAAATAAACTGGAAAGTACAGAAATGTTTCATTAAAACATGTATAAGTGAAAAAACTGGCACAGTCAACTGAAATCTTTCCAATTCTCCTACTAAGAAAGACAAATGTTTTCTGGTATACTCCAGGCACCTGTGAGCTTTCAGTCTGTCAAATATAATCTAGCTGAATTCAGCAACCTGCACTGCAGTTGCAGCTGCCCAGAGATGTTCCCAAGGGAAGCATGCCATTCCCACTGAAGGAGTATCTGTCATGGTAGACTTGCCATTATAAATGCTCTTTGTGAACTAGAAAATCAGGTAAAAGTTCATCTCTCAAATTAGTCTATCAGTCATTCAAATACAACTTGACCTAAAATGTTACTTAAGAATTTGCTGGTTTTTACCTCAGTATTGAGCATAATTCTGTGCTGAATTAAACTCAATAAGTGTTTCTGGCAATAAGTGAGTGGGGAAAAAATGAGAATGCTATCACATTAAATGAATACTTTTAGCTATTTTAAAAATACAGGCAGAAGTATTTGAAACTTTATAAATTGTATGAATTGTTGGTGTTACCCAGCATCCCTAGGGAAACCATATAATGTATGGCCTCCAGAAAAATTTTCATGATAGCAAATGTCAAGTCAGAAGGGGCATCTGGAAAACATATGAAAAACATCTGTCAACTTACATAATTCTAGGCAACCCAAACTGTACGGTCTTTCAAAACATGCCACTCATCCTATCCAAATTTATTATGAAAATGTCAAATATCATGGTAACAAAAAGCAAATTCATTTGTAACACAATCTCATTTGTAAAATTATTGGCTGGCAATACCTTACAACATTTGTTGATGTGTCGCTTGGGACCAAAAGAAAGCAGATTTAAAAATGGAATCAGAAATGACAAGGGAGGAAAAGGGAGTCATGGCAGCAACAAAAAATGAATCGGGTGAAGAAGTGAGAATGGGCAGGGAAAGCTTTCAAACTATATTTTATATTTGAAACCTATGAAAAGACAGTAAATAGTACTGGTCAGGGAGAGATATGACACCGTTTTTAACAGTGTTGGGGACCTTAGAGCAAAGATTGTTCATTTGAAGATAACTATGCTGAGCAAAAGTGGCAGTCTCTGATATTTCCCATAAGTATAATCATTGCCTTGTATAGAAAGGTGAGCCAGATAGAAAGACCTGAGCTTTCTTTTATTATGATTTTCATTTTATGTGTATGCATGCATTGCCTGCATGTATGTAAGTGCATCCTTGTCATGCAATGCCGGAAGAAGCCATCAAATTCCCTGGAACTGGATTTTCAGACAGCTGTTAGTTGTCATGTGGGTGCTGGGATTTGAACCTTGGTCTTCTGCAAGAACAGTCAGTGTTCATAACCCCTGAACCATCTCTCCAGCCCCAAGATCTGAACTCTTATATGAAGTCGTTTTTACCCTAAAAGATGGTGCCATGCCTTAGTTGGTTTCTTAGTATTATAATTTGAAGGGTATGTCTCTAGAATTCATTATGGTGAATCCTCAAACACATATCCAGCAGTATGAATTTCTTCAGAGTTGTTGGATAATGGGTTCAGTTGAAATTCTAAACTATTGGCTCTTTAATTCCCTGGTTCAGCCTTACAGAACTCATGGCTTGTTCACCTAAGTGGTAAGGTAGGAAAAAGTAAGAACTTATATAGAAAAAAGAATTCATTTGTAAGAATGATGAAAACACATGTACATATATGTTTTTGTGAATGGAAAGGGTCTTATGGATTTGAAATAGATATCTCAAATGCAAAATACAATTTATACTGATTTGATTATGTGTTGAGGACTCTGATATCAAACTCATGCTTAGTAGGAAATAGTATTGTAATTAATTAGTCATGTCTGTATACGGACAGGAAGTGGGCTGACAGCATACATGCCATATATTTGCATCTCTTTGAGTATTATGAGAGTGAGGCACAGAAAGGACCAGACCTTCAAAATTGACAGGGGTCATCCAAGGAAAATTTAAATTCTTTATAATATTCTCATTGGTTTAAATCGGGTCGAAATTAAATGGATAAAATTTTAAATGCTCTACTTTTAAGTGAACCTAGAGAAACCTGCCCTTATCTATGCTCAACAGTGGATCCTGCAAGAGATGTCATTTCAAAAAATTAAAAGGGAGAGCTGGGGCTCAGTGGGTAAAGGTACCTCCTGCCAAACTTAATTACTTGAGTTCAATCCCAGGTACTCATATGTCAGAAGGAGAGAACTGATTCTAGTTAGTTGTCCTCTGACCTCTACATCTGAGCCATGGTGGGCGCACGCACACACACACAACACACACTCACACACACACACACACACACACACAAATGTACACATGTAAGATAAATAGATACATGTATTAAAATTTTTTCAAGAAGGAAATTCTGATCCTTGCTTTGACTGCACATACACTAAAACTGGAATGATATAGAGAAGGTTAGCATGGTTCCTGCCAAAGGAGGACACACAAATTCATGAAGCACTTCTTATTTTTAAATGGCTGGGAAATATATACTTTTTAATGTTCAACATTCTAAGCAATCGGGGAAATGCAAATCAAACTTTTTTCTTAACTTTTTAAAAAAATTTATTTTTATTTTATGTGTATGCATGTATTGCCTGCATGAGGGTAAGTGCACCCATGTCATGCAATGCCCACAGAAGACAGAAGAGGCTGTCGGATTCCCTGGAACTGCAGTTACAGACAGTTGCTAGCTGCCATGTGGATGCTGGGATTCGAACCCAGGTCTTCTGCAAAAACAACCAGTGTTCTTAACCTGTGAGCCATCTCTCCAGCCCCACAAATCAAACTTCTTTGAAATTTCATCTTACTCCAGTCAGAATGGCTAAGATTAAAAAAAAAATGACAACAATTGCCAGACTGGATATGGGTAAAAAGGAACATTTATTCACTGCTGGTGTGAATGCATAGTTGGTGCAGACACTATGGAAAATACTGTGGAGATTCCTCAGAAATTAGGAGGTGGGGCTACCACATGATTTGACCATACTGAAGAGAAAAAGAAATATACTTATGTATTTAATGTCATTTTTTTGTGTGCCTAATTGTGGCATTACTAAACCACATTACAATTATAACTGAATGAAGAATCAACCTGACTCAACTTTAGTTTTATGGCCAAGAGTGGAGCCGAGCTCTGAAAATCACCCATTCCTTCTGATGTCTCTTAGAACTATGCTGTTGAGCCAGGACTCAGCCATATTTTTATTCAAAAAGTCTCTCCAGCATGAATTGGGAAACTGCACATTTGAATCCATCCTTATCTTACCAGAGAATCTTGTCCTTTGATCCCTAGGCCTAAAGTATCTCAAACACAATGTCAAGCATATTTCTCAATTTTTCTCACTTCTTCCCATGAGAATAAGAATGTGAATCGGCTGCTTTCAGTGCTTTGATATGCTAATTCAAGCACATCCACATTCATTTACTATTTTGTGTGGAGGATGAAGTGGGGTCCTAAGGGTTTAAGGTCAGCTGTCCAGGTCATGAGATCATGGTTCAGTGAGCTTGTTTGTATGACAAACATTATCTTTTGGTGCAAGGTTAAGTAAAAGTCATAAGAAAAGATTCTGTCTATATTGTAAGTCATTCCTACATCTAATAGGATTTTATGACTGATTTTATACTCGTTTTATGAATTGCTTAAGCCCATGAATTTGGGTCTGTGCTTATAGGCAGGGTCAGAGTAAGAGTCTCCTGGCCAAGATTTCTGCTAGAAACCAAGGCTTCACCAAGAGCCTCCCAATTCTCCAAGGTGATCTGGAGGACCCTTATTGCTACTACCTCCTTGTTTTTCTCAGTAGAGGACAGAAACCCTACCTCTGCCACACATCCCATGCCTTCCATATCTCTCTGGAGGCCAAGGAGGCTGCTCTTCTTCCCAAGGCAGACAACATTCCCAACCCCACTTTTGGAGCATGATCCTGCAGACCAATGCCTCCACCAAGGTCTGAAGAATCAGAGCAGGCAGGGAAATGCCAACCCAGTGGCAGATGCTCACCCTCCAGATGCTCTTCCAAGAGATGAGAGGGCCCCAGCATGTGGCACAGGATGGGAGCAGAGAGAGAGAAAAGCTTATTTTTTACTATTAGCACTTTGCCACTACAGACTTGCTAATTGGAAACATCACAACCTCTCACACTCTGAGAAACCACATGCCATGATAGACAGAGTCTGATAGATAACATAGCCTATGGATGAATCCAGTTGATCCGGAGAAAGCAACAGAACACAGATAAAACTCCATCAGAAGAGAGTTTATTAGCAAAGGAACACATGGGACAGATTCCCTTCCAGGCAGGGAAAATGTCTGCCCAGGTCATGAGCTGGGTTCTTTTAAAGGGGGAGGCTTCTGCTTCCCACAGAAGGCAGGAAGAGGTATTTTTTTTTAAGTTGGGGGAGGAAGCGGGAGGACAGGACTGTTAAAACCTGCCCTCTTTAGAGATCAAAGGGGAAGCCTGCTGTGTTGGCCAAACAGTGGAGAAAAGTCTGCTTCTCTTGATGTCAAAGACCAGGGTGCTTATCAACTTGGTTCCCTTTTCTCAGGGGCTTGTGAAGTCCATGAGGCCCTGTTGGTGAGGGGGTGGGGCTTTCTGAACCTAACAGAGTCCATTTGTTAAACATACGTTCTCACTTGGGGGGACGGCAGGTGCCAACTCTTCCTGACCCTTCTTAATACAGAGGAATATGACAACCATATAATAGCCTGAGCACCTCCATTTTGTGTAAGACTTCTTGGTAAGCTATCGCAGACTCTACCCTGGGCCAGAACCAGCAGTTCCAGGAAGAGATCACCCCAGAGTCCTGGTCTGTTTCAAAGTAACAAACCCATATAATCCTGGGAGGCTCCAGTTGAGGGTTATCTAGCTTTTGTGACTGCTTATGTGGCTTCTGTAACTGCTTGCTTGCCCACCTACAGGAACAAACGTGCTTGCTTAACTCTGAGTAAATCTTGTACCAACCAGTCGAGATATTGATCTTACCTTTAAAAGCTCCCCCCATCCCCTCACAGTTAGTGTTGCATTCTATAAATTGGCTCAGAGAGTTCAGTCGCTGGGAAACTAAATAGATTCAGCTGATTTAGAACTTTTTGAGTCTGAGTGGTCTTTTCCCAGTGATTTCAAACTCCATAATGACCAGTTTTAACTGAGGCTCAGAAATGGATAATGATTCAAGTCCCACCAAGAGAACTAAATGCAGAACAATGGGTCAGAAATACCATCCCAAAAGATGATCCACACTGGGACTCCAATTGAGAAGGTCTACCTAGGAAGGAACCTGCAGACCCTATGAGAACTATTAAAAGAGAGACCTAAGAAGCACATCAGTGTGTCTAAGACCATTGAAATCCTCTAGAAACCAGATGACAGCCCATTTCACTTTAAAAAGGGGCTTTTTGACACTTTCAGCCTGTACAGTCATTTTGACCTTGAAGCCCCTGAAAATCATTGAAGGGTAAATGTAGCTTTTGTGCTCAAGGCACAAGGAGATATTCATAGGAAGGTACATAAACTGGAAGGGTGTGCAGGGATGACTAGCACCTAACTGATGGGGATTGCCAATAACCTGTTTTGTAAATAAGGAGTAGACAACAAAGAGACAGACAAAAGAATAAAACAACAGGGTGTGGTGGCTCCTGCCTTTAGTCACAGCACTTGGGAAGCAGAAGCAGATAGATCTTTGTGAGATGACACCAGCCTGGTCTACATAGTGAGTTCTAGGCTAGTTCAGCCTGCAGGGAGGCTCTGCCTCAAAAACAAGAGAAAAGAAGATGAATGAAGCAAAAAGCTGTGTTGGTGGCATCCTCTCCCAGACAACATCAAAGGGCAAAGCCCCATACAAAGAGACCCACTACAAAGAGACCGATGATGCTAACTTTAAGGACATTTGACACTGGGAAAATGAATACCCCAATAAGAAAACAAGGGAAAGGAGAGAAGAACAAAAATCAAGGAAAAATTACAGTCCATACCAGACTGAACCTCCCACTATAAGCTTTATTACACTGGCTGGCACAGACCTGGACTGAGATAGATCGGACTCATTCAGATTGGCCCCCATAAGCCCATAGTCAAAATGAAAATTGAGTGCCACTTGATGGACTTTATGGTTGACACTGGCGCTGAGTATCAAGCTGTTAACAAACCAGTGGGTCCCATGTCAGGAAGGACAATGAAAGTGGGAGCCACTTGAGTTGCAACCAGGCATCCCTTCTGTAAGCCTTGCATCTGAGTCATGGGAGGACATGTAATAAACCATGGATTACTTTATCATCTAGATTGCCCAGTGCCTTTATTGGGACGAGATTTGTTGTATAAGCTTGGAGCACAGAACACCTTTTCCATTGGTAGGTCTGCCCACCTCAAACTGCAGAAATCCCAGGAAGCCTCATCTCTGATGCTATCAATCTCAGTTTTCTAAGAGGAAAAATGGAGAATTCATTTTAATCTGTCACAAACACAAACTCTGACCTCAAATCATGGAGCTCCCATCAACCAGGCTACAGCCACCATCCATGCCATAGTCCCCAACCCATACACCCCCTAGACCTCATATTTACTGAAGCACAATGGTTTACTTGTTTGCACTTAAAGAATGCCATTTTCAGAATCTGATTGCCCCTGCAAGCCAGCCAATATTTATTGAATGGGACACCCGACCACTGGCTGAAAAGGAAATAAATTGGACTCAATTGCCTCAAGGGTTCCAAAATTTCCCATAGTATTTGAGAAAGCCTTAGCAGATGATCTAGCCCATTTTTGTAGTGCCGAATAGAAATGCACACTCCTGAAGTAAATGAATGGTCTATTCCTAGCAAATTCATCCCTGGAAGATTGCAAGTGGGGAACAGAGACACTGCTAAACCTATTCTAGGAGACGACATACAGGGCTTCCCTCAAAAAGGCTCAGATATTCTGAGAGGTCTAGGTCAAATATCTAGGATTCCAGACCTCAAAAGGACTTGGGCCTCACGATCGGCACAGAAAAAGACAATCTGAATGTCCCCCACTCCCGTGACTGGAAGACAAACTGGAGAGTTACTAGAGGCAGCTGGCTACTCACTCCTAACTAGTCATCGATAGTCAAACCCTTCTAATGAAGCCAGGGAAGTTCATGAAGGAGCCCTTCCTTTGGGGACAACAGAAAAAAGGAGACTTTTAAATTCTCAAACAGACTCTATTGGAAGCAACAGCTTTGGAACTCCATGATGTATCCCAAGCATTTAACTTTTCCATAAAAAGAAGGGAATGGCCCTGAAAGACCTAATCCAGAACATAGGGCCCTGACAGTAATCTGTGTCCTAGCTCTCTAATCAATAGTGTTAATGGGATGGCCATCTTGCCTATGCACTCCAATGGCCACAGCCCACCTGGCTGAGGAAGCTGAGAAACTGACAGTGGGACAATCTCTATATCTTTAAGTCCCACACACAGTCACTGCCTTGATGGGCCATAGAGGACACCATTGATCCA